CCCTGGGTAGAGTGCTGTGGCATCACATTTCATAGAAAGCTCAAACTCTTGGGCTTAAGCAATTCTCTTGCCTCAGCCTCCCAAGTAGCCGGGACTACCACAATGTGGTAGGAGCCCACCACAGCACCCAGCCATTTTTTGTTGTTGTTGTTGTTGTTGTTGTTGTTGTTGCAGTTGTCATTGTTTCAGCAGGTCTGGGCCAGGTTCAAACCCGTCAGCCTTGGTATATGTGACCGACTACTACCCACTGAGCTACAGGCACTGCCTCTTTCTCGAATTTTGGTCCTACTCTGCATAAGTCTGGGATGACCAGAGAGTTTTGAACAGACAAGAAACAATGTCTGACTTAACTTCTTACAGGCCCCCTCATGCTGACATGTGGAGAATAGATGCCAAAGAGTTCCACTGTGAGGGTAGCAGAGGTGTAAGAAGTGTCTGCATTTTGGATGTAGTTGGAAGGTGGAGCCTATGAGATATGCTGAGAGATTGGGGAGGAGGCACTTTGGGTGAGATGACCCCAACAATTGGAAAGATGGAGTCACAGATTGCTGAGTGTGTATCTTTGCACAGCCATTCATTCTGTCATGGAGAGTGGGCTCTTGGGCAGTGAGCCTTAAGTGAATTAATTTGTGTGGGCAGGGAGTCAGGGCCTGGAGTACACAGAGAGTCAGCTCTTCTGCCCAGAGGAGGCCAGAGAGACTTCTCAGAGGAGATAATACCTTTGAGCTCCCAAAGGAAGAGAAAGGGATACCCTAGCTGGGAGGCTGGTACACAAACATTCCAGGTAGAGGAGCAAGCTGGGACAGGAGTGAAGACAAGAAAGCCATGTCATAAAATCCAGGAGATGGGAGCGGCACCTGTGGCTCAAGGAGTAGGGCGCTGACCCCATATACTCCTTACATGGGGCCGGCACCATATGAGGTGACGGGTTCAAATCTGGCCCCGCCCAAAACTGCAAAAATAAATAAATAATTCCAGGGGAATGGGGATGCCGGGGAGAGTAGGTGGAAGAAGAGAAGCCTCCTAGGTGAGGCTGATCCATAGAGGCCCGAGGGGAAGGTGGGGATCTCAGGCCACCAAAAAACCTTTCCTGTCCCTTGCTCACCTGAGTGCACCACCCTGTCTTCTCACCTATGTCAGCTGAGCCACATGAATTTTTCTGACTACTAAGTTCTTTCTACCCTAGGACATTTTCATATGCTGTCCCCTGTTGCTTGGAAAATTCTTATTTCTGGTGTGTATGTGTCATAGTTCACA